TAAAAAAAAAATAAAACTTTTATCATCAAATTAAATGAAAACAGTTATTTCTTCTCATAAACACAAAGGCATCCATAAACTACCATAAAAACAGATGGACATGAATATGTTGTGTCCAGATTCTGTTGTCTGAGAAAGGACCTGAGCTGGAGAGAGATGCTCTCTCCCAACACCACATGAAACCTTATCTTTGAGGGACATGGGACAGACAAGGGATCAAAGCAGGGCCAGCTTTCCCATGTGACTTCAGGGTGTTCCATGCCATGGGTGTGAGTCCCCTCATGTCACCAAAGTCGTGTCTGTCATTCCCCTTTGGGGAGTGCCTGGTGGAGACGCAGGGAGGAGGCCCAGTTTTGGAGCCAGGCCCCTTGTCAGCCCCCACTGTACCCTTCCCCTGCCCACAGGAGAAACAAAGTCCTGAACCACTTCAGCATCATGCAGCAACGGCGGCTCAAGGATCAGGACCAGGATGAGGAAGACGAGGAGAAGGAGAAACGCAGCCGCAAGAAGGCCAGTGAGCTGCGCATCCATGACCTGGAGGATGACCTGGAGATGTCGTCTGACGACAGCGAGGCCAGCGGCGAGGAGGGTGAGGCTGGTGGAGCCCCCCTGGGTGGCCGTGTGGACTAGCCTGGGTCGTACTCCCTCAAGGTGTCTAAGTGACGACTCAGGAAGGTTGATGCCACTGAGGGAAAGCTGAGTCACTCACAGTCCCCTGGGAATGAGGACAGGGCACAGCCCGCTGCACCGGCCCTTGGGGAAGCACGGGAGGTGGTAGGAGGCAGAGAGGAGCGACGGGAAGGTCTCAGCTGCAGCCTTTATTGGGGTGTCCATGGATGGGCAGCGCAGGGCAGGGTGAACAGCTTTGGATCGGCCCGTTTGAATGATGCTGGTGGGCCTTGGGCTACAGGGGTGGGTTCTAGTTGTCCGATACACGGTTCTGGGGGATGCAGGGACGGAGATGGTGGCCCTGAGTGTGAGTCAGAGAAAGCGAGTTGGGGGTATAGACTTGGACCGGTCAGTTTACGTGTAAGAGGCCAGTCCTGGGCGTCTCTCCGTGCTCAGTGAGGCCCCCAAGATGTCCAGACATCCTCAGGTTTCCCAAACGGGACGAGTGCCCGGCCTGAGTCCCGCTCTGCTTCCCTAGGTGGCAGAGCTCCCAAGGCCAAGAAGAAGGCACCGCCGGCCAAGGGAGGCAGGAAGAAGAAGAAGAAGAAGGGGTCCGATGACGAGGCCTTCGAAGACAGTGACGATGGGGACTTTGAGGGCCAGGAAGTGGACTACATGTCCGACGGCTCAAGGTGAGGCAGGCGGGAGGCGGGTGTGAGGTGGGCGTGAGGCCTGCGCCAGCCCGGCCCACGCGCTCCCTCCCTCACGGTCGGCTGGTTCTCCGCCTTCAGCAGCTCCCAGGATGAGCTGGAGGGCAAGCCCAAGGTCACCCAGCAGGAGGAGGGCCCCAAGGGCGTAGATGAACAGAGTGAGAGCAGCGAGGAGAGTGAGGAGGAGAAGCCGCCCGAGGAGGACAAGGAGGAGGAGGAGGAGAAGAAGGCGCCCACGCCTCAGGAGAAGAAGCGCAGGAAAGGTGGGTCCCCTCCCCGCTGCCCGGGCGCCCCGCTCCCAGAGCCCCTCATCTGGGGTGGAGCCGGGGCGGGGCGCCCTGGCGCTGACACTCCTCCTGCCCCACGCAGACAGCAGCGACGAGTCGGACAGCTCAGAGGAGAGCGACATCGACAGCGAGGCGTCCTCGGCCCTCTTCATGGCGGTGAGGCCCGGGCCCGGGCAGGGGCGGGTGGGCCGGCGTCTGTCTCCAGACTTACATCCCAACCCCATTTCCGCAGAAGAAGAAGACGCCCCCCAAGAGGGAGCGGAGGCCGTCGGGAGGCAGCTCTCGGGGCAACAGCCGGCCAGGCACGCCCAGCGCGGAGA